TCATAAGATTTTAAAGGATTTTATAGATTTCATAGGTAAACATAGATTTGTAAAGCACAATTAATGTTACAAGAATTAATAATAATAAAAATATAACATAAACAATAAACAAAAGTAAAACTAACACAAATTTTTTCTATCTTTTGATAAATAATTATCTTTATCTTTTTTACAAATAATTGACTTTAATATCCTTCTAACTAACATTTCTCTACATTATCTAAAGTTACACTCCTCCATTTCCTCCAAAGGTAGCTATTACCATTTGGAGACTCCAAATGAATAACTTGGCTACCTGCAATAATTTGATAAAAGACAAATTATTTTAAATGAAATGGAATCAAGGTGTAATTTTTGCAATCAAGAGCCTGAATCAGTGTCACATACATTTTTCTCCTGTCAGGTCATAGATAACGTATGGAAGGAGTGTTATAAGTGGGGGATATCACAACAGTACTACCAGACAACACCCTACAACACTATTTTCAGGAACCTTCCCTAAGTCCATCAAAAGTTTTTTGTCCAAAAGTGGAGAGTATTATGATGTGCAATCATCTAGACTACTTGGCGGACAGAAACAATGTTGTGTTTAGGGGACATAAATTTGACGCAGAACATGTGGTGAAAGATATTGCTTTTGTCACTTGGACATGGCTAAGATTGGATAAAAATTTCAATTACAGCTATGCTTAGTGGATCTCAAACCCTGATCTGTTTTTACTCTAGGTTAGCCGGCCACATATCATAATATTGTGACAAATTAACTGGTGAGGAATTCGGGAATCAAAACATCAGAAGGTTGACACTACAGATTAATAAGGTGGAGTGATCAAACATGCAGGAGGAAACTTGGATTATTAGCAGAGGAACGGAATGCAATAATGTTACTTTGTTCTTCATTGTGAAAAAGTTTGGGGTTTACAAACATTACATGCTCCTTATTGTTGGTTGAAATGTATCTTTTGAGGGAAAGATGGGCTTATGGCCCACATGGGTTGATTTCATATTGTAATTTTTTTTGCATGGTTAGTCATTAATCTAGTCAAATTGACTATATTATATCTAACCAAGCTTTTTATTTGTATATAGGGTTCATGGCACCCCTAGTGCCATATATTAATATACCTTTGCTTTTCAAAAAAAAAACACTACTCCTCCATATAATGACATATTCTTTTTCATGTTCTTGAGTCTGAACAATATCTTTAAAATTATGGTCTTCCTTAATTAGTAGCACTAAAATTTAAGATTCATCCATTGATTCAATCGAAAATTATTAAAATGACATTCTTTGTGAAGAAAGTTATGTAGCGTTACAAATGTTGATACAAATTTAGTTTGTGTCTTAAATAGAAATGAAAGCATTAAATTAAACATTATAAAGTATGATTTAAAAACATCAAATATCCTCTTGATCAGATTTCTTAAAGACGCATGATATAAATTGAACACTTAATTTTCATTTTGTGGGTTATTACCATAACCTGCAAATTTTTGAAGATGATATCACACATTTCTAAATGGAACTAAAAATTGATGTCTATTAGGAAATTCACAATTCATTAAAACAATATTACCTAATTACATATACAACACATGAAATTAGTATGAAAAGTTAAAAAAAAAAATTATTATTAAAAAATATTTACCTTGGAGCACTTTAGTTCATATTTCCTTATCAAAGCATCACTTAATAACTTCGAATCATGAGTTGAACCTTCTCACTCACTAAAAATATACGTGAATTCCAAATATAAGTTACAAGTTGTTAATAGATTTTTTGATATCTTTCCATGACGATTACAATAATAACTTACATCTTGTCTCTTCACCATTGTCAAAATATCAGTATCATCAATGACTGCAATGCAATCCAAATTTCTTTTGTATATTATTAAAGTTCAACCATTATAACTCTACCAAAATATAAATCAAATACTTCAATCGAAATACAATCAAAATTACACTTAAAAAAACATAGTTCAACAAAGTATTAATCATCCTAACTTGAAGTTTATCCGAGATGAACGTTCTTCTAATGACATCTTAAAGAAAGTGTCCTTCTTTTCTTTATTATCAAGCAAATCAACAACTATAAAATGAGTTTTACAATCCAAATTTGGAATCTCTTTTATAGCATCCAAATAGTATTATCTTTCTGTTTCTCTCTATCTTTTGTTATTTTCTCCCTGTCTTTTTCTCTTTTCTCCAATATGTTAGATATGTTTCAAAATTGATAGTAATAATCCCAATCCCAATTAAAAAAGTATCTAGAACTTTGGCATGATTGTTGGTACCACTTAAATTAGAACTCCTTGTGCACTCGAATCTACTTCTCTTATGAAGGCTTGAATTTTCAATGGGAACCTTTGGACTTAAAAAAGATTAGACAGTGGATTACATTCCTAAAGTGGTGAAGGTTGATAGAATGGTTCATGTTATTTGATTGATAAATTATATATACATCAATATTGATAGATTAAAATGTAACAAAAAAATATTGATAGATAAAAAAAGATAGGAATAAAAGTATAATATAAAGAAGAACAAATAAATGAGAGAGATGGACATAAAGAGAAAGATAATATGAGATAGAGAATGCATGTGTAGAAAGAGAGAGGGGAGAAAAAGAGAGAAGAAAAAAAGAGATAGGGAAGAGAGAAAGAGAGAGAGAGAGTGAGTGAAAGAGAAAAAAGAGAGAAGAAAAAAAGAGAGGGAGGAAAAAATTAAGAGAAATAAACGGAAAAAAAATAAAGTCATGGAAAATCTTAAAGATTTTGGTAAGATTATTAAATGAGTAAATTATAAGTAAATTCTACTAAAATGTCTCACAGAATCCATAATTCAAAATAATTCATTAAAGTCTCTATTTTTTTTAATACGGGGCAAACTTTTTTTAAATGAATTTTTTTTAATTAAATATCACTAAATTTTGACGTACTTCTAAACAAATTTTGATTGTCTTAATTGAATATCATCATATTTTGATGTATTCTTAAAAAAATTTAATTATCTTAATTAAATATCACGTAACTTTTTTATATTAAAAAAAGTTTTATTTGAATATCCCAATATTTTTTTATAATAAAAAATCTTTTAAAATCCTATCTCTGACACAATTGCAAACATTATAAATTTAAAGGTGAGAGGGTTAATGTAAAGAAGTAATCCATCAAGATTGAGGAAGAGAGAAAGTCAACCAACTATGATACATTTAAAAAGAAAATCAAATAAGAAAAGTTATAAAAGAACAAAAAAAAAATAAAACAAAGCATAATTAATTATGTTTTATGACATAATCAATTATATTATAATAAATAACTTAATAAATAAAAATAAGTAAAAGAAAACAACAATTAAAATTAGTAATTTCATACAAATCATATGAGTCCCAAAAAAATTAATATTTCACTTTTATTTTCTTTTACCAAACAATTTATTATAATATATCTTCCCATTTTCCTCTCTTCATTTCTTTTCTGCTCTATTTAACGAATATCAAACAAAGTATAAGAAAAGTGATGCAGATACAACAATTTGTATATTTTTTTTATTTCTCTAAAACATCATTTATTAAATTTCAAATTTATCTTTCTTAGTTGTGCAAAATTATTGTAATTTGTAGTAAAATCATTATATCTCTATCCGTAATTTATTTTAAATTTTGTAAACGAGTCTTTCACTCTTTTATTTTTTTTGGAAATTTCATGCATTAATTAGATTATTAAGAATATAAGTCACAAGCATTGATTGAATAATTATTCCTTCAACTACCACAATGTCATTTTGAGTTGAACATTTATGTACTAATTTTTACTATCAACAAATTACAAATTATGATACATATAACTTTTTAGTAGGTTTTATAAAATTCAATAAAACTATTATATATTTTTATTGGAAGCTATTTTCTCTTTAGTTTATGAATAACTTTAAAATAAAATTTAAATTTACATTATTACTGTTAAATAAAATTAGTTAACCTAATTTTATGTATTAATATTGATGAATTAAGTTTCTATTTCTAGTACATACTATGAACAGAAAATAGAGAAAATCATGTTAGTTGCTCATTTAATGAAATAAAAGTAAATAAGCAACTGACATGATACTATTAAAAAATATAATTGATTGTCAGTGTAAAAAATTTTACACTAACAATGTATAGATGATTAACTCTTATATTTACACAACATCGCGTAAGTCATAACCCTTTAACCTTTTTTCATCGAGAGAAAAGAAAAAGGCTCATGATAAACACACCTCCACTCTCCTATAAGCACACCCCCTTTTAAAAAAATATATATAAAATGTCTAAATTACCCTTAAAAAAAAAATTCCTAAATTTACACTCCTCCTTCCTCGTACCCCCTTCCTCGCACCCCCTTCCCCGCAAGCAGAACGGGCCGTACTGCAAGCAGAACGGCCCGTACTGCTTGCAATACGGCCCGTTCTGTTTTCAGTGCTGGCCGTTCTGCAGCAAAACGGGCCGTACTGTTTTCAGTACGCCCCGTTCTGCAAGCAGTACGTCACGTTCTTCAATCAGTACGGCCCGTTCTGCAAGCAGTACAGGCCGTTCTGCTTGCAGCAAGGGCCGTTCTGCTTGCAGCAAGGGCCGTTCTGGGGCCGTTCTGTTGCAGTACAGGCCACCGCGTCACTTTTAAAATGGCTACCTTATGACTGATTTTAAAACCCCGATTTTAAAAGTTATTTTTGTACTAATCTTTCTTTTCATAGAACAAGTAAGAGTCTTTCTCATACAAAATCACTTGCCGACATTGCGCACCCCTCTTCTTTCTCTTTCTGGCACTCCTCTTCTTCTTCTTCTTACTGTTACGAAAAGTTCTTTCCGGAATTATATAAAAATGTTCCGGAAAATACTTTCCATAATATTAAATTCTTATTCCGGAAAGTATTTTCCGGAAATATTTTGTTATATAATTCCGGAAAGTATTTTCCATAATATTAAAGTTACTATTACGGAAAGTTCTTTCCGGAATTATATGAACAATAATTTCTATTCCGAAAAGTACTTTCCGGAATGCTAATGACTGTAAAAGTACTTTTCGAAATGCTATGACTGTAAAAGAACCTTTCTTATGCTGATTATGGTGGGACTAGTCCTTTTTTTCTATTCAGAATGACTGTAAAAGTATATTGCTTAATAACATTGAGCGAAAAGAGGCTTTGGGAAGAAGAGGGGTGTGAAATGTGGGGTGCGGGGAAGGAGGGTGGGGGAAGGGAGGTGTAAATTTAAGAATTTCATTTTTTTAAAGGGTAATTTAGACATTTTATATTTTTTTTTTAAAAAGGGGGTGTGTTTATATGAGAGTGGAGGTGTGTTTATCACCTGCCAAAGAAAAAAGTTCTCCGCGATTCCGATTCCGCATACAAGTCCAAAAATGACCCACTAACTCGTTCAGAAAAGCCCAAAGCCGGCCCATTCAGCATCGCTCACGGGCCGGGGCGACGACACCACAGAAGACGAGGCCGTTGAGGCCCGAAACGGCGAGAGGGACTTGGTCGACGACAAGGACCACCGGCCAAGCGTCTCCAGCTCCGACGTATAATCCTCCTCAACCACACGCTTCGGAACCGCCTTCCTCCGTTGTAGCCGCCTCAAAAACGGCGAAAAGAAACAACCCGACGACACGCTCTCGGCTCGGGCCAGAAGAGGCCGCTCGAACCGCCACCGCTCAGACCGGACCCTCGGACTGGACCGGAATGACCGTGTCCGGGGCTCCACCGGAGAAAGCAGGTAGGACCCCGCCGGCGGCGGCGGCCTCAGCTTCAGCGACGGCAATTCCAGCTTCTGGCGGTGGAGCTTCTGTTGCACTATGGGGAGTCCCGGTTTTACCTCCCACTTGAAAGGAACTGCTCCTGGCTTCTTAAAAGAGTCACCATCATCCACTACTGCACTCGCACCCATTACTCTATACTTTTTCAAAAAACTAAGCAACGGTTTGTGACTTTGTGCTACTTGTGACCACTATGGTGTATTTATATGGTGATTACTGATTAGGCACTGTAACCGCGAAATCAGAGGCACGGATTAGTGGGGACTCTGGGCCTGGCCCACACTCAATTGGACTTACGGGTCCATTTTGATACCACTAACTGACTTTGAGCGCTCTGTTAGAAAAAGAACATACACACCATGTGAGTAAGCTTTATGTACTAGACTTTTTGGTGTCAAATTTTAAAATTGAAACGTCTTTTGAGAAATCAGATTATGGACCTACCTTTTTGTTTCATTTCTTCTGAGGACGGACGTAAATTTCTCCGATTTTCGGTTATTGTTTTTGTCTTTTGCAAGGTCTAGAGTCCCTCCCAGAACAACAATTGAACGTTCAAGGGAATGATTATCGCTGCAGCAGCCTCAATGGATGATATAGTCAATTGCTAATATCAGACTAAACATAAGATTCAAATTGGTTGGCAAGAAGAGAGATACATAGGTGCATGTTCATAGGGACAAGTTGGACCACGTGTAATCATTTAGGTGAAGTCGCATTTGAAAGGGAAATGGCGCCACTAGAGACCAGTTGAGTACTAGTCTATTAGAAGAAGCTTAATGACTCATAATAACATTGCCATACAAGACCAACATTAATAAATCATTTTCTTCATGTGGGCAAAAGAATACTAATGGATGTCGTTTTGAGCAATTACTGTTTCCAGAACATAATAATATTCAGCGTGCTGACCCTTCAATTAATTAGTACTTTCATAACTTCCTTTGTTGGTTATTCAGTCAACTTATTTTAATGTCAATGTCTTTGAATGTTTTTCATTATCATTGTATTCCCTCCTTGAATGTTTTTTTTTGTTGTCAATGTTTTTTTTTTTTTTTTGACGTTCGTAATACTACATCCCTACTTATAAAACCATTTCAACTAAATTACATTTTTTAAGAAAATAAATTGTTTTAGTTAAGAGCACTAAATTTTTCAATAATTTAAATTATTTTTTTAAAATAATTTTCTCTCTTTCTACTTAATCATTTTTTTATCTAATTATTAATGTTTAGAAGAGAAATATTTATGTACTTATCTATCTTTCCTAATCTTATTAAGAGAATTTTTATCTAATTAATTTCAATCATAAAGTTATTAAATAAGAATATTTTAGAAAAGATATAATTAATACAATTGATAGACAATTAGAAGAAGGTCTTATTTAAAAGAATAGACAAAAAAAAAAGAGTCTTATATATTGTACCGTCTCGGTCAGAATTCGATCTGACCCCGTTACATGGGTGCACTCAGTCAGAATCCGATCTGACCCCTCTATATGGGTGAACTCAGTCAGAATCCGATCTTACCCTTTTGCGTAGGTGCGTTGTCTTGGTCAGAATCAGATCTAACTTTCCCACGTAGATACTGATTCGATATCAAGGATGAAATTATATCTTTAATGACCAAATATTCCAAAATAAAGCCGTCATAAAAATCTCTGCATTCGTGAGGCCCATGAGACCCATGGTGAAGAAAGTATAAGACCTGAAACCCTAGAATTAGGAGAGACAGATTACACTCTTGAATGCTCTGACTCGGAAGACTGATCTAGGAAAAGAACCCTAAACGCTCCCTTAGCTAGAATATATATATATATATATGGATCGAAGTAGTAGCTTTTTGTATCTTTTTGAATTATGAAGGGTGGGAGTGAGAGGGTACAACCAACTGCTAAGAGGACTTTAGTTTATATGCACACCCTACCTGTCATGTATTGGCCCGTGGTTTTCTCTGGTGATTTAGATGAGTTATAATTTCAAATTGTTTGCTTATCTTTGTTCAGTTTCCCTCATATTTGATATTTTCTAGCCATGGCAGCATCATTTGATCTGACTTGTGAGGGTGGAATGTGGCAAAAATATTAGACTCGGGTATATTATGCTTGGTTTTCCTTCTTTATATGAGACAGGGAAGGAGCACCCTGATGTGTCACACTTAATAAATGCACCCTTTCAGCTGCATGAGTCACTCATGGTATGAATTCTATTACTCATGTCTTATTTATGTTAACTATCCTGACTCGAGTTTTTTTAAGCACTCACTGAATGTTGTTCTGTTTGCGAATTTCAAGGTTGTTTTGCATTTTATGTCATGGTGAACTACTTTGAACTTATCCTAAAATGCCATGTGAGGGAAAGGTTTAAACTTTAAAAGGTTCTTGCTTTGTAGTCTTGACTTCATTGTAGTGACACGTGAATTCATATCCCTTTGGTGTGTAGGGTTCATGCTGTAAGTAAATTTAATATATGAGCGTGTGCTCACTCCCTAGGCGATCATACGTAAGGTACAAGCCATGACTATTATATCGTGGTAAATTTTCAAATCCAAAGAAATCATGGCAAAGACTTATTTGATTAATTGATGCTTGTTATTGATGTGTGCTCAGATTTCAAATTCTAACTTTTGATGTCATTAATTTTAGGAGTTTTTTTCCCGATTTTTCAGCATATATATGTGGAGTATAATTTATGTTATGTATGTATCATAAAACTTAAAATTAGCAATATTCCTACTATAGCATTTTTGGGATTGAGTACTATGTTACCATGATTACTATAATTCTCATTAGTTATTTAGCTCCTTAACGATATGAGATTAAAATTATCAAAGAAAACTACATATTATAGCATGGAAAACAAGGTACATACTAATATAGTTGCATATAAAAAAAGTTAAAATCTTAATTTGATTTCTTATAATATTAAAATATTTTAATTTAGTCTCATTTTTTTTTTTTCAATTTAGTCCCAAATTATTTAAAATACTTCAACGTGAGACTTTCGTCTAAATTTTACAAATGGTGTTAAACGTTCATGAGAATCACGCCCGTGATTCTAAATCACAACCATGATTCTCATGCCTCGTGTTAAATCGTGGTGGAAAAGGGCTTTCTTTGTTCTTGTTCTCATTCTTCGTTCTCTAATCACCACTAACGTTGGAAACCGCCACACGTTCACCTCCACTATCGATCGTGGGCATCATCGGAGGCTCGCTCTTCATCGCGACCCTCATCCAAAGCTCCAAGAACAGCAGCAACAACTTCCTATGCATGTTGAGGAAGCAACAGGGGGTGCGAAGCTGACCACCTCCTCTCTAGCTACCCCCGATCTCCGGGCCCACACCGTCCGCTACCGCACGTAGCTCCGCGAGGCCGACCACCTCCTCTCTAGCGACCGCTCCGAGCCCGCCTGCTCACCAGCCTCTGCCACGTTCCGCGGCAACGAGCGCCACCGGCTGACACTGCAAAACCTCCCTGACAAGGTCTACATCACGGAGTGGAACCTCGTCATGATCAACGTGCCCAAGGGTTATACAAATGGATGAAAGCAAAAAAAAAAATGGGGTATACAAAGATATTTTGGATATGAAGATATCGAGTATTTCAATTTGACTACTTAGCTTCTTTAAGCCTTAGAGGCTTAAACTTATTTGATTCCTTGATGTTTGTTGTTATTTGATTCCTTTATATTGTGTAAATTGTCATCAACTGTTGAGAAATTTTTAATATTTTCATTGATTGTCCCTGTCAACATGAATCCTATCTCTCGGTAGTTGATACCTGTCATCATTAAACTGCTAATACAAATTACACAAAATAAAAAAGAACAATTAAGTAGAACTTGAGGTTTTACATAACTTTTAGGTGTTCTAAATTATCATTTTATTATATTACATAACAAAATAACAGACATTTTATAAGTGCCTTGTGTTTAAATAATTAATTATCTACTTTCTTCACACTTTAAATTCAGATTTAAGCTGCCTGTGTACCCGATAATGTAATTAGTCTCCTACCGACATGTCAAGAATTTATTTACTTACCCAATTCCTCCTAAAACCTACTGGAACCTTATAATATAAATAGTATTTGATCATAATCAAGATAATATAATCAGTATGATGTGCATGGGAGAAAGTTGACTTATTTAGGATTTTAATTGTGAAGGAGGAAAGACATGATATTTGAAGGAGTGCATGTTGCGAAGGGAAAAAAAGGGGACAAAAAAGAAAAGAAATAGTATAGAAAAGAGCAAGTAGCAAAAGAAAACTCAACAAATCACATTTCTTTCAATACTAACCCTAGAAGTTGAGGTCTTACATAAGGCTCCTATAGTATATTTAGTATTAGATCATCAAAGTGCAAAAGAGAGAGTCCGCTTAACCAGGATTTCAATTATAAAAGAGTAACCACCGGTCTCAACAGTACGATTCAAAGTAGTACAAGTTATGCGCTAATGGAAAAAAGTAACACAAAGCAATTTGCAATGACGAACTCAGCAAATCATTTTAATACCAATGCCCATGTGCAAAGTACCTATTGACATAGCTCTTAAAAAATAAGAAAAAGAAAGTTTGCTACTATTTAATACCATGTATGCAACAATTCATAGTAACATCAAGGAAAGTGTCAAAAACTCTATTTTATATAACCATGTCAATAGAGGAAGCGCATATGTACACATCCATTAATTAAACAAAAGAACATGTTAAAACAGATAATGTGTTCATTACACATATAAGAACCAAATGAGCAAAAGATGAGTTCTTTTATATGCAGGAGCTAAAAAGTAAATAACATGAGGAAAAATAAATCTTTTTTTATTTTAATTTTTGACGAAGAAAGACGTACACTATAAGTTACAACAGATCAATCAAATCTAATAAAATGCAAAGTACAAAAATGGAAGCCAGACGAAGAGAAGTCAATAGTGTGCATAACAGAATAACCAGTCAGCTACCACCATGGTCTACCTAACAAATTCTTGATAGCAGCATGTCACACCTATGTCTCGTCCATTTATATCCTCTGAGAGCCACACCATCTGTAGATCTCACTCTAGTTGAAAAAAGGAGGTAAATATTTGCCAGAAAGTTGAATGTCCAATGCCTAATTTATAAGGTGAATATGGAAAGACTAAAGTTGCTTTTCTAACCAACTTCTTCTTCACTGTCTCCCATCTTTGCAGAATTACGTTGTTTGATTGTCCGCAAATGTAAAGGTAGGATGGCCTTTTGCGAAGGTAATTCAGCTATGAATAACAGAGTCTGCGCCCAGCCAGCATATTTACCATATTTCGATACAAATGCCTCTGCAACACGATCGCAGAGCTTTGGCGTCAACTGGGAACCTGCAAGCTCAGGTAAGAGATACTTTGTGGCAATCTTACCCAAGTTCAAAAAAGACACATCCAAATTAACACTCAATGCTAAACTCTAGACAAATCCAATCCCAACATTCTACAAGATATAATAACCAATCAGTAAAGCATAAATGATGACAGGAATCCTCCTAAAGCAACAATGCAATTATAGAATAATTTGTTTTCCACTAAGGAGCTTACCCGCCAGACGTGGGTGTCAACAGGAACGGCATGGTGTTGATCAAGCGAGAAGAGAGCAACGCAAGCAGCCACTTTAGGACCCACACCGGGTAACTTAGAAAGTTCAGATATAACGTCATGAAGATCCAACTTACGAAGAGAGCGAAGCCATTCTTCCCCTCCACCAGGTTTTGATTGCAAAGCATTAACCGTCCCAATTATATATTTAGCCCTAGCAACAAGACAATCACAATCACAATCACAACCATAATCACAATTGAATAATGGTTAGGGTTAGGGCATGGGATGAACCTGTAACCAAAACCAGCGTCTCTGAGTTGTTGCTCTGAGAGCGACGAAAGCTGTTCCAAAGTAGGGAAATCGTGGAACTGAAACCCTC